GCACCTGTATTTCGGGGAGTTGCTCCGGTAGCCCAGTCGTAGCCAGCTGTGCCAGCCGCCCGTGGGTCCGTTGCTCTTCTGCCGCTACTTTAGCCGCGGGGCCAGTTACTCCAGTATTCCGGGGCGTTGTTCCGGTAGCCGCTGTGCCAGTGTGCCTCCTGTTGCCCGTGTGTCTACAGCTTCAGCCGTCGCCTCCTATCTCCTCTCCCCTCACTCTCTCTCCTCCTCCTCACTTGCCCGTTGTGACTACCACTAGCTTTGCTCATAATTGTGAACCTTAAACTATTGTTTCTTGAACTTGTGCTCGGAATGTGTGGTGACATTGTGATCCACCCTGAGCTTGTACTGCTTTGCTTGCTCTGCTGATTACACCCCACCTTGGCTATGGGGGTGTGTCAGAATGTTATCTTATGCTCTAGCCTGTAGTGGGGTGCTCTATAGCGAGTACAACCCTTCTAGGGTTTGCTATTTGTATCCCCATTCTTGCTAGTGCAACCCTCTTCTCTCTTCTAACTTTTCACAGTGGGTACAAGTAGCAAAACCTAGAAGTGTTGTACCCCATATAGTCTACCCCACTACAGCCTACACAGACTATAGCATATAAGTTTGACATCACGCTTAACGATGGTCCAGAACCTGCGCTTCAACCTCCTGTCGGAGACCTCCCCCACCTTGCGGTGGACGGGGAAGGTTGGCGATGCGTCTGCGTTGCGGGTCTGGGGATCTCGGGCGTTTGTCCTCGACTTGTCTGCGGACAAGCTGTCCCCCCGTGCTGTTCCTTGCGTCTTCCTTGGCTTCCCCCCTGACGCGCCTGGTTGGCAGTTTTACCACCCCACCTCGCGCCAGGTTCTGTCCTCCCAGGACGTCACCTTTGACGAGTCAGTTCCTTACTACCGTCTCTTCCCCTACCGCACTGCGCCCCTCCCCCCGCCGCCGCTCTTCCTTGCGCTAGTACCTCTTCCAGTAGACCCTCTCCCCCCTCAGGGTCCTGCCCCGTCAGGTGTGTCGCAGGTAGACGCACTCGAGCCTGTCGAGGTAGCTGTTGACTCTGTTGCTGCTAGGCATGCTGAGCCTGCAGGTGCCGGGTCTTGGGGTGCTGAGCCTGGGGGTGCGGAGCCTGGGGGTGCTGAGTCTAGGGGTGCTGAGCCTGCGGGTGCCGGGTCTGGGGGTGCTGAGCCTGGGGGTGCGGAGCCTGGGGGTGCTGAGCCTTGGGGTACGAAGCCTGGGGGTGCGGAGCCTGGGGGTGCTGGGTCTGCTCGTGTGGCCTATGGCGGTGCTTGGTCGAGGCGGGAGCTACCCTCTCAGCAGGAGCTGCGCGAGTGGTTTGCCTGGCGCTGGAGCCGTGCTGCTGGAGCTCGAGGTGCTACTGCTGCTGCTGGTCCTGGAGGTGCTCGTACTGGCGGTACTGGAGCTGCTGGGACTGGGGGTGCTGCTGGGGCTACAGGAGTTGGTCCTGCTAGAGGTACTGCTGGAGCTGCTGGCGGTACTGGAGCTGACGGTCCTGCTGGAGCTGGTGGAGCTGGAGCAGCTGGGGGTGTTGGCGCTGGAGGCGCTGCTGGCGCTGGTGCTTCTGAGGGTGCTGGAGTTGGCGCTGTTGCAGCTGGAGGTGCTGCTGGCGCTGGTGCTTCCGCTGGGGGTACTGGTGCTGTCCGTGCTGGTTCTGGAGGCGCTGCGCGGTCGCGGCCGTACTTCGTTCTGCTCCTTGAGCAGGTTCTTGGTCTCCCGCCCTCTACTGGTCCTGCTCCTCCCTTAGAGTGTCCATAGCCTGTCCAGTCGTGGTCACAGTAACAGCCAGCCTACCCCTTACCTGCTCCTTCTCCCTACACTGGTCCTACTTTGAGGTCTTGCTGAGCGTCGTGAGCCTGCGTCTCGTCATGCGTCGCCTGTTCGTGCTGCTCGCACTAGTAGTCGTGCTCCGCGTCCGCGTCCTCCTGCCGTCCTGGGCACACACCAGATGGCACTGCGTCCTTCCACTGCTCCTCTGCGTGTCCCGTTGCCGTCTCCTCTAGAGTCCTCTCTTACTGTCCCTGCCGACCCGGAGTCTGACTCTCTTTGTGCTGCCAGTCCTACTATCACGCGTCTCCTGGCTACTGTTGTCACTGACCCTTCCTTTGAGTCCACTGCTGCGTCTGCCTTGGTTGCTCAGCTTGTCGACTTTGCTGCTCGCTGTCGTCTAGACTACGACACTAGTCTTGTTGCTGAGTCTGAGTCTGTCTGTCCTCCGTCCGTCGGGGGTGAGTGTGCTCTTAGCACGGACGTCCTTGAGGACAGGCAGGAGGAGTTCCAGTGTTTTGCTACTGCTTTGCCTCATCTCGTGTCCACGCTGATTGCCCCTGAGGGAGACCCGGATGCACCAGACATCCTGACTCCTCGATCGTACGCTGAGGCGATCGAGGGTCCCTACTCCACACAGTGGCAGTCACCCATGGACGCAGATATGGCTTCCTCGAAGTCCACAGGCACCTACGTCGACGAGGTTCCCCCACCTGGGGCGAACATCGTCAGTGGCATGTGGATTTTCAGGGTGAAGCGGCCGCCGGGTTCTCCGCCTGTCTTCAAGGCGCGTTACGTGGCTCGAGGCTTCAGACAGCGGCATGGAGTTGACTACTTTCAGACCTTCTCTCCCACCCCGAAGATGACCACTCTTTGGGTGCTGCTGCACATAGCCGCTCAGCGCGACTACGAGCTTCACTCTCTTGACTTCAACACAGCTTTCCTGCAGGGCAGCCTGCACGAGGAGATCTGGCTGCGCCGCCCACCTAGCTTCACTTGGTCGTTTCCCCCTGGTACCCAGTGGAGCCTCCGGCGGCCAGTCTACGGTCTCCGCGAGGCGCCCCGTGAGTGGCACGACACACTGAGGACTACACTTGCGGCTCTTGGGTTTGCTCCTTCTACTGCCGACCCGTCGCTGTTTCTGCGCACCGACACCTCTTTGTCGCCGTTCTACATCCTCGTGTACGTCGACGACTTGGTCTTTGCCACTGCTGACACTGCTGGACTCGCCCACGTGAAGTCCGAGCTGCAGAAGAGACACACATGCACAGACATGGGTGAACTGCACAGCTACCTTGGCTTGCAGATCACCCGGGACAGAGCATAGCGCACCATTACCCTGACTCAGTCACACATGGTGAGCAGGTCCTTCAGCGTTTCGACTTCACGTACTCCTCGCCTCAAGCCACTCCTCTGTTTACTCGCAGAAGAATCCTGTACGCCATCAGGGATTCGTTATAATAGCGAGTCCTTGCGTTGTCGCTGTCCTCAACAGGTCGCGAGTAGCTCCCGTCGAAATAATGATAAATCTGCGCGTTTTGCAGCAGCAGCTCCAGCTCGAAGCTCCAGGTGTAAAAGTCTCTGCCGTCAAAGCACAAACTTGTCTTTATTTTTGATATGCTCAAAAACCTTGATTGCATGGAGAGAATTGCTTCATCGCTGGGACAGGGAGTCTTGGGGGTTGAGCCGTTCGTATCTAGGGAGAAGCCTTTCGGGGCGGAGTTTTGGTCGTTTGGGGCCGGTTGAGTGGGTTGGGAAGAAGTTCCCGCATCGCCATTCCGCAATGTCTGGAGCCCTTGCTCCAGGCTCGTGAGTCGCTGAAGAAGTTGTGCGAGGACGGCTCAAGGAATCGTCGTTTCCTCGTTTGTCGCAGCCTGGTTGGGCTGCGCTTCAGCCGTCAGATTCGTCTGACCTCCAGATCCTCTAGCCATTCTTACACGTGATCGTGTGCTGGACGCCACTTTCCGAATGTCGCGGATTTCGGAGATGGCGGTGCGAATGATTCCTGAGTCGCTCTCATACCATGTTGCGATCAGAAGTTGATCTTGGCCTATGATCTAGTCAGGAAGGTTCGCACGCAGAGAAGTGATGTTGGTGGGCCCTTGACCTCAATAGCAGAGTGAATGTACCCGTATAGTTCCGGCTAGAAGACCCGGGGGACTCTCTACAAATGCTGGAAATTGTGCTTGGGTGGACATTATGGCGGCAGCAATTTTTTAAGACTCGGGGTAATCTATTTGTCAATTATCAATCTGATATTTAGGGTGTACGACTCAATTTGGGATGGGGGGGTCTTATATTCGTAACGAATTCGCGCAAATTTTGCGCGTGCGGCGCGTCAGATCTGTGTCAGAATTCGAGTCTGACACAAATGAAGTGTCAGAATTCGAGTCTGACACGAAAAACGTGTCAGAATTCGAATTTACTCCTGTAAAAGCTGACGCACAATATCAAATATTACTTTTGTATACAGAAAAGGGAGGTCTTATGATGATTAGAGGCCAAGGGGGGGTCCTCACAAAATCGTCCACAATAAGAGTCCCCCTACCCATTCAAGAGTCCCGGGGGACCTTCTTACCGGCGGGTCTTCGAGCCGGAACTATACGGTAAATGCTTGAGATAAAATAAAACATGCAAATACAACAAATATAAATATGAGTACAGAGGAGATGAAACTAGCTAGCTAGCCATGTACTGTAAGGGGTACATTCCCTTATTCAAATACATTCGCAACCGTGCGGCGCGAACAGTTACGAAACTGTTCCCGCCGAAGCCATCTTGCCTGCAGCTGCCTAATGCTGTCTGCTCCGACAGTTCAGATGCATCCCAACTGTCTGACGCTTCGAGTCACTTCCAGCCGTCTGACGCTTTGCGTTCATTCGCGATACTGCGTGCTTTTCTTTGCTGCGGTGAGGAGGGCACGGTAATATTCGAGCTGTACCATTTGTAACAGACGCAGTGACGACTCGGGCAACTGCTCTGTAGCGAGTCAGTTGTGTGTCCTTGCTGTCGCGCTGTACTTGTCAGGGTAAAGGTCGTTGACCTTTGACTTTCGCGTAACCTCTAGCAACTGCTCAACCTCCGAGGGTTGACTCGCCGGTGCTTCGATATACTTTGCTTCGCTTCTGACTTAGATTTCGACACGAAAGAGGCGCTTAGAATTAGTTGTTTCCAACATTAGGGTCTTCAATCCTGGCATTACCGTACCAGGGAAATTGACATGAGCATTATCGAGTGGACTTTTTCACAGTAGATGGTGGTGGAGGTGGAAGCTTCCGCTTCATTCTAGTACTCTTGAGAGGAGGGGGAGGGGGCGGGCGCCTCCTCTTTGCTCCATCCTTCTTGGAACCACCTGGGGGAGGGCTCTCCTTAGGCTTGCTGCTTTTTGGCGGGGGCGGGTGCTTGCTGCCAGTGCTGTGCGGGGGTGGGGGGCTCTTCCTCTTGCCTTTTTTCGGAGGTGGCTTCACCTTCTCCCCACCGGATTTTGGTGCTTTGGGGCTGCCTCCCCCTTGCGCGCTTGACAGCTTTGGGGGTGGTGGGGGTGGGGAAGGTGGGGGGCGAGGGGGTTTAGGAGGGGGGCGAGGGGGTTTAGGAGGGGGGCGAGGAGGCCTTGGGGGAGGCTTAGGCGGACTGGGTGGGGGCCGAGGAGGAGGGGAGGGCGGTGGCTTTGCTGCTCGTGGGGGCGGTGGCTGCAGGGGTGGGGAAGGGGGCTTCGGGGGTGACGGCAGGGGCTTTGGAGGAGGGGATAGCTTGGGGGGAGGGCTGGGGGGGCGAGGAGGAGGAGATGGAGGCCTAGGGGGAGGGGATGGGGGCTTAGGGGGAGGGGCTGGCGATTTAGGGGGAGGGGAAGAGGGCTGAGGCGGAGAGGGTGGGGGCTGAGGGGGGGGAGAGGGGGGTTGACGGGGAGGTGATGGGGGGCTAGGCGGGGGCACAGGTGGTGGGGATGGGGGACGGGGCGGGGGTGAGGGAGGTGGATTAGGGGGAGGTCGAGGGGGAGGATTAGGAGGAGGCCTGGCAGGAGAATTGGGGGGAGGTTTGGGGGGAGGACTGGGAGGGGGTTTAGGGGGCGGATTGGGAGGAGGTCTGGGGGGAGGACTGGGAGGGGGTCTGGGGGGCGGGTTGGGAGGGAGGGGAGGGGAGGGAGGAGGAAAGGGTGGGGGAGGCGGGGCGAGTGAGACAAGAGATTCGACAGTGAAGGAGGGCACAACAGCAGCGGACTGCACGAAGCCAAAGGAGATGGAGTCGTTGGGGGCGAGGTGCGTGGCCCACCAGGGCAGCTGGCAGGAGAGCGCGTCCATGTTCCACGCCTGTGACGGCTCAAAGTCATGGCAGCGCAGGCGGAAATCGCGCACGGGGAAGGCGCTGCCCGTGTTGGCCACCACGCACGACCACCGGCTCTGCTGCTCGCCGTACTGCTGCCACCCGCCCGTCACCTCACACGCCACCGTCACTAGCGCTGCTGGGTCCACAGTGGGGCCCGCTGGGGACGTGTGAGGAGGAGGCGGCGATGGGCAGAAGAAGGAGGACGCGGAACAGAGCGGAGGCGGGGAGGCGGGTGGGCGTGGAGGGGGGGAGGGAGGTGCAGGGGGGAAGGGAGGTGGAGGGGGAGCGGGGGGCAGGGTGCCAGCAGCGAGCCTGGCGAGGAGGCCAACGGCAGGTGCGTTGGCGCATGCTGATGGCTCTGTGAAGGATGGCAGCACCCGCGAGTCCTGGAACGCATCGCTCTGCCATGCCATGTGCGCAGGGACCCGGGCAGAGAGAGGGCCGAGGGCAGAAGTAAGACAGAGGACAGGCAGGGGGCAGACAGAGGGCAGACAGAGGGCAGACAGAGGGCACACAGAGGGCACACAGAGGGCACACAGAGGGCACACAGAGGGCACACAGAGGGCACACAGAGGGCACACAGAGGGCACACAGACGGCACACAGAGGGCACACAGAGGGCACACAGAGGGCACACAGAGGGCACACAGAGGGCACACAGAGGGCACACAGACGGCACACAGAGGGCACACAGAGGGCACACAGAGGGCACACAGAGGGCACACAGAGGGCAGGGGTGAGAGCAGAGGTGGCAAGTAGTGCGAGGGTGCAAGCACATAACAACAGGCAGGTGGCTCTGTGAAACAGCCTGCACTGACCCTGCCCAGTGCCCTTGATATTGGCACAACCGTGGGCCCTGGGCTAGAAAGCCACTGCCACTGCCAAAGCCAAAGCCACGTGCAGTGCACTCACGGCATCGGGCCCGCCCACGATGGCGCCCACGAGCACGTTGGGGTTGGAGGCGTCGCGGTTGAGCCAGTCCGCCACGCCGCCCTCACACGTGACCTGCGTGCTGTTCACGTTGAATGACACGATGGACGCAGCGCGGTGGTGCACGCGCAGGGGGAAGGAGGAGCCGAAGCCCACCATGAAGGAGAGGCCCAGGGGGTTGCTCCCCAGCAGGTAGTCCACCTGCGGGCAGTGGACGCACACACATGCAGAGAGGCGCGCTCAACCATTTGCGCATGCACTGGCAGCCGTGAAGGAGTGAGTGGGGGAAGGTGATGAGGGAGGGCCCAACCATGCTTAACCAACAGCAACTTGAAATTGGACACAGTTAGAGCGGAAGGTGGTGCGAATGGCACAACTTGACAGGTGCATGGGGCGATCAGCGTGGGAGACACTGCAGGGCGCGGAGCGAGCGTCACCTGCGACTGGGCGAAGGCCAGGATGGCGGGCGGCGCGAACGTGACTCCCTCGCACTGCACGACCTGCGCGCTGCCCGCGAGCGAGTCCGAGTGCAGCGCCAGCAGGAACGCAGCGCCGAGCGCGAGCTGCGCGTTGCTGGCACGCACGTGCAGCAGCCCGCCAGGCGTGGTGTAGACGGCGCGCAGGGGGTTGGCGGGCATGTGCGCGCACACGAAGAGGTCCGCCATGCCGCGGTACCCCTCCAGCACCGCCATGGCCGCCACGCTGGTCAAGAGCGCCGCGGGCACGCCTTGCAGCATCATCTGCGCGCGCGGAGGGGGGAGCAGGTACTTGGAATGTGGGGGGCAGAACCGGCCGTGACAGCAGGGGGTACCGTAGTGTGGGGAGAGACGAAGGAAGGCTGGGCAATTGGGGCAGGGAAGCGGCGGGAGTGGAGGGAGGGGCGGGGCCATGGGACATGGGAGAGGAGGGGAGTGGGGGCAGGGGCAGGGGAGCGACCTGCGCGATGAGCACTTGCACGCCGGGCAGCTTGTGCTGCCAGCTCATCTCCAGCTGCAGCTGCTCCGAGCCGCGTATCCACGCGTCGTTGGCGACGAGGTAGTCGACGTACACGGCGTACCCCGTGGCGCGGTGCAGCCACACCGCCGCCCACGCCAGCTCGTCCTGGTAGCTGCTGCCCTCGCCGCTCGTGGAGAAGCGCCTCGCCTGCGGCACCGCATCGCTGTAGCTGCCGCGGTACGTGTCCGCGAACACGAACAGCTGCGCAAGGGGGGGGGAGGTGGAGGGAAGGGAAATGAGAGAAGGCGCGTTTAGGAAGAGAGAGCGAGCATGAAGAGATGGCGGGGTTAACGGTGGATTGTGGCGATGTGATGCGACGCGACACGGTGCAGAGCGGCAGCAGCAGCGGTGCGTGACCTGTTCCGCGTGGCCCAGCAGCGTGCTGGCGTAGCTGCCGTCCACGGGCCTCAGCGCCAGCGACGCCGCAGCGAGGGCGGCGGCGGTTTCCGCGGCGAGGTCTGATCCTGGGTGCGAGGCGTTGACGCGGTACGCCGTGCGCGCCGTGCTCATGTCCTCCGGCCGCTGCCAGCACGCGCTCTCCGCCACCGGGTCGCCCACCTGGAGGGGCGCGCGGGTGGGGGGACGGGGGATACGCACCCACAAGGGCAGCCGGAGGTGAACGTGGCGAGCAGGTGCGGCGAAACATGAGCAGCTAAGAGTGGCGCTCCGAAGACCAGTCGCTGTCACTGTGATCCCGTCTTCACAGTCGTTGCCCGCGCCCGCCTCACTACCCCCCTCCTCTTCCCCCCCTTCCCCCTTTCTCTTCCCGCACGCACCTGCGCCCACAGCTCGTTCATCCCCGTGTGCGCCTTCACCAGGTAGTCCGTCGACCACCGCAGCGCGTTGCGCGCCGCCGTCAGCTGCGCGGCTCCGCCGGCCGCCTCGAGGTGGCGGCGGAAGTCGATGAGGCTCCAGGCGAGCAAGGTGGTGGCGAAGGCGGCGGGCAGCCCGTACTTGACGTTGCTGCCGCCCTCGTAGTACCCACCCTCCAGATCCACCTGGGGGCGCGGGGGGGTGAAGAAGAGAGCGGGGAGGGGCGGGGGAGAAGGGAATTCTGGTGTGAAAAGGGGCCCACTGCGCAAGGGGTCTGGTGCTGTGAAGTGGATCAGTCGGCGGGTGTGCGGCGACAATTCCACGCATGTTGAGGGTGCGACTGATGCGACAGGCTGCTGGCGTGCGAGAGACGGTTACACTCGACTGCGGGGCGATCACAGTGCCTCAGCAGCAGAGGGAGCAGCGCGCGCTCTCACCATCTGCGCCGCGCCGTCGCCGAGGCCCGAGTTGTTGCGCCATGCGACGCTCGTGGGCATGCGCGCGCCGGCTCCGCTGATGCGACCCGACCGCTGCGCGTCGAAGAAGAGGATCGACTTCACCAGCGCGTCCGTGTAGTTCAGCGTTGCGCCGCCGCCGCCGCCGCCACTGCTACTGCCGCCGGCGGTGGCAGTCTGGCAGGCGACGAGGTGCAGGTGGGTGAGCAGCCACAGGCTCGCGCACGCGAGCGCGATCGGCCGCCATCGCCGCGCGGGTGGAGTGGGCGCCGTCAACGCTGGTGGACAGGGCTTGCCCATGGACGACACGAGCAGAGCACCCTCCGTGCGTCACAACAGCTGCATCGCGGAGTGCGATCTACGATGGAGAAAAAAACACGCGGAAGCTAGTTATTTTCGCACGCATTGCTGTCCCTTCCACCTATGTTGAATCTGCGCAGCGGAAGGGATGCGGCCTACACCTCTGGGCTGGTAGTGCACATTAGGAGGGTGGGGGTATTTTGTGTACGTGCAGAAATTGAGGTGGTTGAACATATGATGCTTGTGGCGGGACAGATCTGCGGTCCGGAAAGGGAAGGCTGGCTGTTGAGATGTCTGCCACATGAATCGCGGCTCTGACATATCTGATCTACAAGAAATCTCTCTGGATAAGCATTCTCAACTAGGATTGAAGCACAGCACCTATGATTGAATACCATAAAAGGATAAGCACCTGAGACAATTTAAATAGTTGTTTTTGTTGGAAACAAGTAACCTAACGCTTCTGATGTGTCGGAACATCGAACTGTAAACGAAGCAAATAGCAACGAAGCAACGGCGAGTCAACCATCGGAGGTTGACAAGAGAAGTAACCGCTAGAGGTTACGCGAAGGTCAAAGGTCAGCGACCTTTGACTTGACAAATACAGTGCGACAGCAAGGACAAACAACTGACTCAATACTGAGCAGTTGCCCGAGTCGTCACTGTATCGAACCGCAACAGCAACAGTAAAACAGTTATTTGCACGGTTTCATACCGTATCACCCTGGAAAGTAGCGCCACGCGCCGGCGCTTCTATATAGAGCCATGCGCTTATGGCCGGTACTCATTTATAAGTGCGTTGGGAACAATAAGTCTTAAGCGCCTCTGTCGTGTCGAAACTCAGGACACAAAGCGAAGCAGCTCAAATCGAAGCGCAACGAGTCAACCCTCGGAGGTTAGGGTAACCGCTGGAGGTTACGCGAAGGTCAAAGGTCAGCGACCTTTGACTTGACAAATACAGCGCGACAGCAAGGACACACAACTGACTCGACATTGAGCAGTTGCCCGAGTCGCACTGTATCGAATCGCAACAGCAAAACCGTTTAATTATATCTATTCGTATTCCTTGTACTCTTATATAAACCTTGTGAAAATAGAGAACGAGAATGGAATGACTATGAATGAAGTGAGTACATATGGGAAACACTGATTGGGTTGTACCCCCTATGGGATACCCCACTATAGCCTACACAAATAAGTAAGCTATAATGTTCTGACACACCCCCATAGGCAAAGTGGGGGAGAGCAAGGGGTCACAAGACCAGTCAAGCAAAGCAAGGCAAAGCTCAGGGTGGATCACAAAGTCACCACACATTCCGAGCACAAGTTCAAAGGCCAAAAGGCCAGTTCACATGCAAGAACACATATATATAGATATACAAGAGGCTAAGCAAGCAAGAGCAAGAGTATATATATAAGTGACAGTACAAGCAAGGTCAAGAAGTGAGCAAGTGAGGCAAGACAAGCACAACACCCAACTGAGTGCAGAAGCGCTGATGATCACAAGGCGCAAGTGCCTTGGTGAAGACATCAGCAGTGTTGGCCTCAGAGGCCACGTATGCAAGCCGCAACTGTCCACGCTGCTGTAGCTCACGAGCAAGAAAGTAGCGGAGAGCAATGTGCTTTGTCCTGTGCTCCAGTCGCTGCTCTCGACACAAGGCCAGCATGGCCTTGTTGTCTACGTACAGGACTGGAGGAGAACGAGGCGGCTCTCTAAGGTTGGTCAGCAGGTAGGTGAGCCAGCGAAGCTCCTGGGCAGCCATAGCCCCGGCGTAGATCTCAGCCCCACAACTGGAGCCGAGAACAGAAGACGAGCGGGTAGCCCGCCACGAAACAGAGCCGGAACCGAAGCTGAAGGTGTAACCCTGTGACGACCGCTGCGTAGCCTGGTCGTCAGCCCAAGAAGCGTCCGCGTGCCCAGTGAGGACCACTGGACTCCGCCCTCCAAGCACTAGCCCCATGCCCGACGTACTGCACAAGTAGCGCAACACCCTCTTCGCTGCAGCCATGTGCTCTGGTCGGTGTCTCCCAGGAGCAACATAGCGTGCGAGAATGCTAAGAGGGTATGCAAGGTCAGGACGAGTGCAGGTCATCAGGTACATGAGGCAGCCAACAAGCTCTGGATACAGGCCACTCGACTCTACGGACTCATCCGAAGGCAGAGCTGAGAGCGAGTGGCGAGTAGGCAGAGGAGTGGCCTGAGGCGAGGAGTACGTGAAGCCGAAGCGCTGAAGGACCTGCTGCACCATGTGTGACTGAGTCAAGGTAATGGTGCGCTGTGCTCCGTCGCGGGTGATCTCCAAGCCAAGGTAGCTGCGCAGTTCACCCAGGTCAGTGCACGTGTGTCTCTTCTGCAGCTCGGACTTCACGTAGACGAGTCCAGCAGTGTCAGCAGTGGCAAAGACCAAGTCGTCGACGTACACGAGGATGTAGAACGGCGGCAGAGAGGTGTCGGTGCGCAGAAACAGCGACGGGTCGGCAGTAGAAGGAGCAAAACCCAAAAGCCGCAAGCGTAGTCCTCAGTGTGTCGTGCCACTCACGGGGCGCCTGGCGGAGACCGTAGACTGGACGCCGGAGACTCCACTGGGTACCAGGAGGGAAAGACCCAGTGAAGCTAGGTGGGCGGCGCCGCCAGATCTCCTCGTGCAGGCTGCCCTGCAAGAACGCAGTGCTGAAGTCAAGAGAGTGCAGCTCGTAGTCACGGTGAGCAGCAATGTGCAGCAGTACCCGAAGAGTGGTCATCTTCGGGGTGGGGGAGAAGGTCTGAAAGTAGTCAACCCCCTGCCGCTGACTGAAGCCACAAGCCACGTAACGCGCCTTGAAGACAGGCGGAGAACCCGGCGGCCGCTTCACCCTGAAGTGTCAGAGGTCCACTGGTGATCCCCGATCGATCCTAGGGAAGGGTTACAGGCATGTTGGCCTGGGGGGTTATGGGCGCACTGACCCGCTACTTAACAAGCCCTTTTATCCCAATGGTCTAGTGGTTGGGATTCTGAGATGGTATCAGAGCGAAGGTCTCGGGTTCGAATCCTGGTGTATGCACTTCGGGCATCCCAGTGCGGGGGGGTGTCAGAGGTCCACTGGTGATCCCCGATCGATCCTAGGGAAGGGTTACAGGCATGTTGGCCTGGGGGGTTATGGGCGCACTGACCCGCTACTTAACAAGCCCTTTTATCCCAATGGTCTAGTGGTTGGGATTCTGAGATGAAGATCCACATGCCACTGACGATGTTCGCCCCAGGAGGGGGGACAGCATCAACGTAGGTGCCTGTGGACTTCCAGGAAGCCATCTCTGCATCCATAGCTGCCTGCCACTGAGAGGAGTAGGGACCCTCTATCGCCTCCGCGTAAGAGCGCGGAGTCGGGATGTCAAGTGCATCCGGGTCTCCCTCAGGGGTAAGGAGTACGGACAAGAGATGCGGTGAAGCGGCTGCCAGGCACTGGAACTCCTCCTGCCTGTCCTCGAGGACGTCCGTGCCAAGGGCACACTCACCCCCGACGGACGGAGGACAGACAGACTCAGACTCAGCGACAAGACTAGCAGCGTAGTCTAAGCGACAGCGAGCAGCAAAGTCGACGAGCTCAGTAACGAGGGCAGACGCAGCAGAAGACTCGAAAGAAGGGTCAGTGACGACAGTAGCAAGGAAACGCGTGACAGTAGGACTGGCAGCACGAAGAGAGTCCGACTCCAGGTCGGCAAGAGCAGGAAGAGAGGACTCAGGAGGAGAAGGTAAAGGGGCACGCAGAAGAGCAGTGGACGGGTGCAGTGACATCCGGTGCGTGCCAAGGACAGGAGGAGGACGCTGACGCGAACTGCGACCACTAGCGCGTGCAGGACAAACAGGTGACGCAGGACGAGACGCAGGCTCACGACGCTCAGTAAGACCTCCAGTAGGACCAGCGTAGGGAGAAGGAGCTGGTAAGGGGGAAGCAGGCTGTAGCTGTGACTGGGACGGGACAGGCTGTGGACGCTCTAAGAGAGGAGGAGAGCCAAAAGAAGGTGGAAGACCAAAAACCTGCTGCAGGAGTGGAACGAAGTACGGTCGAGGCCGCGTGGCGACGCTAGACACAGCAGGGACAGCACCAGTACCCCCAGCAGGAGCACCCGCTCCAGTAGCACCTCCAGCAGCACCCCCAGCAGCTCCAGAACCCCCAGCAGCACAAGGAGCACCGCCAACAGGACGGCCAGCGGTAGTCTCAGCGCCAACACCCTCAGCATTACCATCTCCAGTCGAACCCGCAGGCCCTGCATCTCCAGTACTCACAGTACGAGCACCTCCGGGACCCGCGACAGTAGCACCCTCAGCAGTCAAAGAACCTCCAGCACCAGCACTATGCCTCCAGCGCCGGGCAAACCACTCACGCAGCTCCTGTGGGGAGAGTGGCTCTCGGCGAGACGAAGCACCCGGCGAACCTCCAGGTGAAGAAACTCCTGGCTCAGCACCCCCAGGCAAAGCACCTCCAGGCTCTGCACCCCCAGGCTCAGCACCCCCAGGCTCAGCACCCCCAGGCACAGCACCCCCAGGCTCAGCACCCCTAGGCTCAGCACCCCCAGGCTCCGCACCCCCAGGCTCCGCACCCCCAGGCTCAGGACCCCCAGTCTCAGCACCCCTAGGCACAGAACCCCCAGTCGCAGCACCCCTAGGCTCAGCACCCGCAGCAGTACCAGAGTCACCAGTGACCTCGACAGGCTCGACCGCGTCTACCTGGGACACACCTGAAGGGGCTGGACCCTGAGGGGGGAGGGGGTCTACCGGGGGGGGACCTGGTACCAAGAAGAGCGGGGGTGGGGGGAGGGACGGAGTGCGGTAGGGGAAGAGGTGGTAGTAGGGTACCGACTCGTCGAACGTGACGTCCTGGGAGGACAGAACACGGCGAGAGGTGGGGTGGTAGAACTGCCACCCAGGGGCGTCGGAGGGGAACCCCAGGAAGACGCAGGGAGCAGCACGAGGGGACAGCTTGTCCGCAGACAAGTCGCGGACAAACGCCCGAGATCCCCA